TTGGTTTTTATCAGTGCTTTTTTTCTAAAAAAAAAAAAAAGGTGCCGGAACTCACACATGTCATACAACCCGCCTTGCCTACCCTACAAGGTTCCATCCAAAAAAGGTGCCGGAACTCCGTTCTGAGTGTTCTATGAGAAAAAAAGCCCTGGTTTTTATAGCCATTGTTAAGTATAACTCTGTTCTATGTATTCCAGTTGTTCCTGTGTTCTACGCCAGCAAAATCTTTTGCATAACAAACTAATATATCACAAATAAATCAGCCTAATCAAGTTCACAGGAATGAATACACGTAGGAATAAATACGTGAAGCCAATCAAATTGCACTGACTGATATCACATTGTTCCTGATTATGCAAATGCGCCACTAAGCTACATATTTTGTATGTGTGAAGAGGAAAATCAGGTTTATTAGTAAATATGCCAGATAATAGCAAATAAGTATAGCATTATACTTTAAGAAGGAAGTATAAATGGAAATTTATAAGCCCATTTCATCTAATCTTAGGGTTTTTTTTTTCCAGAAAAAAATCTATTTATTACCTGGCTATTGCTTACTTCACAAATTCTGTCTATCTTCAGGATTCAGGTCACTTGACAACTCACTTTCTGCAACAAGGTCGCCCTAAACCAATTTTACATCTTTCAACACGTTGCCTTTTAGCCACCTAATGAGGGCAAATTTGATCAGCTGATCTTTCAAATAAGGGCTGCAATTATAGGCCAAAAAGTCTACATTTCACATAAAATTCTGGATTTGTTTTCCCATGAAAAACATCACTGCACAAACATTTGCTCTAATCTTGATTCATCATGTTGTCACGTTTCACTCAATCCTACTAAAAAAAACAAACCGCTTAGCAGACTGAATCTCCAGCATAATGATGCCAAGTGTGAAATATCTGTCATAGTTAATAGTATTTTCCTCCAAGGGCTGGAATAAACTGAGTTTGGCATGGGAGGAACTTGTTGTGGGCTGCTTGGGAAAACTTAGCCATGATGCAAGGCGCTTTTTCTTTTAATATTTTTATTTTACCTTAGATATTTTTTTTTCTTTTGAGGCTTTGAGCTGCCCAGAATTTGGTCCAAGATGAGTGGTCATCTAAATGTTTTAAATAAATAAGTATAAGTCACATTATTTGAAAGTGTTAAGCAATAGCTTTAAAAACAAGCTTTTAACAATGTGATTCAAATCTATCACTCTGATGTACTATTAATCTATGTATCCAATAATACCTTATTTCAAGAGAAGACCTCAAGAATTCATTAGGTAAAGATGACTCAGTGTTTTAACACTGGGATATACAAACACATTAATATAAATCTCGGAATAGTTGAAGATGGTTGAGTTAAATAAAACTTTCTGATTCAGTGGGCCCTAAATACTGTATGTTTTTTGACCAACAAACAACTCAGTGTGACAGATTTCTGGGAATAATTATTTCCTCTGTACATTTTCATTTACATGGAAATGTTTACCTTTGCCACCCACCCGCTTAATACCTTTGGGCATGTTATAAGATGCAATAAAAGCAATACATCTAAAATTAAATCTTAACTTATATACTGTATGTTGAAAGAATAACATTAAAAGTGTTGTGAAAATAAACATTTTAAACCCTCTCCTGAAATGTAAAATACCAAGCATTTTATTTCAGAGTACAATATTGCTCAGCTACAGAAAAATCCACTAACAACAACAACAACAACAAAAAAAGATAAGAGAAAACCTGAGTCAAAAATGTGTATTGGAAAATGCCAGCCTTCTTTAAAGGATTTATCCATGGTCAATTGTTTTAATTCAATTAAAAGAAAAGAAAAATCAGTGCATGTTTTTCATTTTTATTTTCAGACTGAATTTAATTTTGACCTTGTGTTCTAATGAGATTTCGTCTCTTATTCTAAATGGATTATTTTTGCAGTTTTCTTAGCAAATTCTTCATCCTGGAAAAACTTTCATTTTTTTTCTTTTTCATGCAATCTTATTATATTTCAAATTACAGAAACAAATAATAAGGAAAAAGACTGAGCTACTTCCAATCTCATTTACCATAACTTGGCAAGTATCGCTGATCCTTCTCACCTCTTCTTCACAGAGCTATAGGTAGGAAATGAGAAACTTCTGTTTCCAGGTTGAGTTAACCGCTACTTATATTACATTAGAGTATGAAGAGAATACTAGATTGCCCTTGATGAAAAACAAATGTAAACCTTTCTAATGTTTCTTTCACAACCATCCTGAAGAAGACAGAAGGGTTTATTACGTTCCAGGTGATCAGTTGGATATTAGCAAAACTAAGCATGACAATAGATAGATACTAGTTGAATGCCAAAGTTTGATTTCATTTTTTAAAATGATTGTTCTATAACTCAGGACCAAATCCACAAAGTCTTTGTCTTTTTTCACTTTGCCCTTCCCATGCTCTCCTGTCTCTGTTCAGCCTTTTTCCCCCCTTCCATTTGATCATGTCTGATTCTTGGAGACTGCCTGGAAAAATCCCTGCAATTTTCTTGGCAAGGTTTTTCAGAAGTGGTTTGCCATTGCCTCCTTCCTAGAGCTAAGAGAAAATGACTAGGCCATTTTCACCTTTAGGCTTTGTGCTTAAAGAGGCACTAGAACTCACAATGTCCTGGTTTCTAGCCTGATGTCTTAATTACTACACCAAAATGGTTTTCATTCAGTCTTTAATGATAAGTATTTAATGTGCTCCTCAGTAGTGTACCAAAAGCAGACCATAGCAAATATGAAAAGCAGCACAAGAAATAAGGAAAGCAAGCCAGAAAACTGCAGATGAAGACTTTCAACCACTGTACCTTGACCTGGTGTTTGCAAACCTGTGGCCTGTACCTTGACCTGGTCTCTGTTTGCAAACATATTAATGGTTGTGCACCAAATCCAGGTAGGCATTATTTTAAAAACAGACTGCTACTCAAGCACAAGCAAGTTCATCAACAGTTTTTTAAACGTGACATCAAAGCCTCTCATACCACAGCCAAGATAGGGAGATTTGTGGGTTTAACTCTGGTTTTTATGAGTACCCTGGGGTCTACTAAATACTGCCAGAAGCTAAAGGCTTACAACATAAAACCATTCTGATCATAGGAACATGTTTTGAGTTCGAAAGCTGAATGTAGTCTTTCCATATACAATCTATTCTAAGTTCTACATCCTTCAACTTACTTACAGCAGCTTTCTTCCACTCCCAATTTTAAAAATAACAAAGTAGCTTTTAATTTGTTTTCTTATATTTCAAGCAAATAAATCAGAAGACAAATCTGAATAAATTCTTGATTTCATTGACACTCTGATCCTTTTTTATAACTCCACTTATCTCTTAAATTCTTTAGGGGAGAAAAATGTTTCATAGAATGATAGAAGTTTGATAATAACTAATTTAACTTTTATGCAGAATTATAGAGAATTGTATTGATAAAATATTATTTTATTTTACTTTAATATATAGTTTAGTTAAGCTGAATAACTAATAATTATATTGCTAATTAAAATGATTCAACCAATGGAAAATACATGCCAGGATAATCATCTAATTTTCACTAAAAGAAACTATATATATATATATTAAAAACTATTTTGCCATCATTTTCATATTACATATTTTAAAATCAGAATCTGTTCATAACAAAAATGCACCAACAGTTTTATTTCTCTCTCCTGTCCTGCTATATCCTATATTTAAATCAATTAACAATAGCTCAATAACAAAGCATTAATGCTATGCACGAGAATGATTAAAATTATTAGAATGCCACCACTTACCATATTATTCACTTTATAGTTAAGAATGTTCAGATAAACCTTAAGCCAGTGCTTTTTATTATTATTCACAAATGATATTCTTGATACATTTCATTCTACACCATATTTTAGATCTGTATTTGAATAATCAGTATCTTACCTCATATACAAATTTAAAACACAGCATATGTCAGTGATGTTTAATTAAAGATATGGGCTCAATAAGCTATATGTTACAGATGTAATTTTTTCAATATCATATTTTTTATATCATATTATAGAAATTATATATCATAAAAATAGCTATATCCTTCCAGAAAGACTGCACATTTTAGAAGTGGGTAGAATCTGATGCCATTCAAGTCTGCTGACGTAAAGCAGGCAGGAACAGGACACATTTCTCAAATGAAATTTCACTTATGAAAAGAATCAAAGTAGACAGACTAGTGGCTTTAATTAACTTCACATTAGTAGTGAACATTCTTGACATTCACTAAGCCTTATTATAAAGAATGTCTCCTACATATAAAAAAATAGAATAAAGGCCACTTTGATTACCATCAGTAATATTGACCTTTGCAACATTGCATAGCTCCAGCTCCATTTGTTTACACTGTGAATCTCTCTCATTTGGTTCAGAAAAAAAGGTAGGATCCTTTACCACAAATATAACAGAGGCAATAAAACCACAAAAGGGGGGAGAATGTGAATACTGAATAGTTTATTATACCAGGAGTCCATCCTTCCTGCCTTCCTGTATTATTCAGTAGATATGTAAAAATATTAAGATGATTTGTCATTTTTCCGCCCAACCCTGAAGGAGAAACACAAAATATGTCAAGTGCTGTTATTCAGTTGACGAGCCATTCTCCCCACAAATGAAAGTCAAAAAAAAAACACCAAGCAAAAACATTTAAGGATGGGAAACTAGAATTTTGCCACCCTGCTCTTCTCCAGATTCAAAAGGTGAACTTGAGAGGTCTTTTGAAAATCCTAGCAAAACCAGGCAGGAACTGAAATCCCACCTTCTTCCTAAAGGTGATGATCATAATTACAGCTATAATTTACCACTGCGATTACGATTTGCTAGCAAAGTACATCATGGGAGCCTTCTCCCCACAGAAAGACACCACTCGGTCACCAAAGCTATCAGCCCCAAGGCAAAGGATGCACTGGCTCCATGCTGCCAGCAATTCTGTAGGAGGCGGAGGAGGAATAAAGGAGAGGGAGGAAGCTCACTCACTATTGCTCCAGGATTTCAGTAAATATTTGATACTGATTTCAAAGAAGCCGGAATCCTGTTGGCTGGCCATGGTTGCGGTATACAAGGAGCTTCTCCCAGAGCAGCTCGGGCGGCAGGTACTTTGCCGGCGAGATGGGACTGTCACCAGTTAGTGATGTAAACGGAGGGGTCAGGAGAGGGAATCAAGTCTCCGCAGAGCCTCTCCTTCCGCTCCTGAGGGGCGCTTGCTCTTGCAGTAGAGGCTGCTGCTGCTGCTCTCTCGTCCAGCGACAATGAACGAAGCAGCCTTGGCGATGCTTGTCCTCGGCTCATCCTTCACCGAGCGTGCCGCCTCGCCATCGCACGGAGCCCCGGGAGAGCCTAGCGCCGCTTCTCACCATCCACCAGCTCGCTTAAGCGCTGCTGCTGCTGCTGCGGGCTGCGGCGGTGGCTACTGCTGCATGAACGGCGCTGACTCCTTCTTCTTCCTTGCCGGGTGTTAGAGAGGAGCGGTGGGAAGGAAAAAAAAAACACCACCTCTTCCTGCAAAACGCCCCGCAGCAACCCAGGCAGCCGGGGCGGCCCGGCGATTCGCCACCGAGACCCGCTTCCAGGGCCCTCCTCTCTCTTGCAGCCCCGGCGCGCAGGGCAGAAGATCGGAACCCAGGCGGAGTGGCTCTGTTTTGTTTTTATGCCAGCTGCTGCCTTGTCAGCTGCTTCCCTCCCAAGAACAACAACAACGCCTAATTCTCAACAACTGCATCATGCTGCGGTAAAGCCCAAACTGCACCCATCCAGAGGGTGCAGTGACGGTGCCTCTTTTCTCCTCCCCTCCCCTCCCTCCCTCCCCCAGGTTTTGCCGGGCGCTTCTCCGCGTTGCCTTAATTGTTTGAGTTCTTCTTCTCTCGGCACCAGACAAATCGGAGCGGCTGCTGATACCATTTTGTCTTGGGTCAGATTTAAAGAGACAGCAGCCAGCGGAATAATGGCTTACTATATTAAAGCCCCTCTATGTTTGCCCCTTAATTTCATTGATATGGCCAGCCCTTTGCTGAACCAAGTTGGCCACCTGCTTTAGCAGGAGAAAGGAAAATTGTACTGAAGTCAAAGAGACTTAATACCCTGATTACCCCCCCCCCTTCAAAATTAAGGTACATTTTGCAAAAATTGTCACTACTGTGAACTGGAGGACTATGGGCTATCTCATACATGGGCATTTTGTACAGGGCTCCAGTGTCTGGAATTAGCAATATTTGTTTGCAAAAATAGAGGAGCAACTGGGTTTCCACAGAAAAGATTCTATGCATGCATAATATACATTGCGTCTTTGTATGTGCATGTGTATATACGCATACTCACATGCACAGAATGTGTGTGTGTGTGTGTGTGTGTGTGTGAGAGAGAGAGAGAGAGAGAGAGAGAGAGAAGGGCAGGAAGAGTCTTTTGATAGGTTTCTAGCACACAGAACCAAAAAGTTCTGTACAGTATATTATATAAAAGATGGTAGTATTTAAAATGCCACAAGTGAGTGTTACAGTAAAAGCACAACATACTTACCCCTCGGAAAATTTCTACAGTTCTATCAGTTATACCAATTATATCTTGTTGTTACTGATTTAAAGGTAGTATACCTCCAAACAGCCATAAATAGTATCCTTTGTTTATGTACTGCTAGCATATGTGATACCTCATAGAAGTAAACTATGAAGTCCTCATATCTTTTTCGATTACTTCCAGAACCCTCTCTGAACATAACTCCAAAAAGCAGCACTTATAAGACTGATGTCAGCAGAAGTAGTCAAGACAAGAAACATGCCCTGAAGTACTAATTCTATCTTTATTGTAAGGTTACATTAATAGAATCTTGCAAGTCTGAAAGTACATCTCTTGCACCTCACCTTTACAGTCCAAGAAACTAGGAGGGTCCTTCTGAGATATTTGCTATGCCCCCATTCCTTCTGGAAGCTCAGCTGCTCTTGTCTGACCATTGCCTAGTCTGTGGCTCCCCCTCCTGCCTCCCAAGGTCATTTCCACATCCCATTACAAAGGCAGAACTTCAATCACTATATTGTGGCCACTATCTTGACTTTTTAGACCTGCCCTGCAAACATCTCTGGCTCTTAGGCACACCCTTGAAAAATCAGGATCTGCCCACTTGCAGTCATTTGTTATCCATTTTTAATTACCCTTGAAGAATGCTAAGAAATTTCAGCTGATTTCTTAGGTGGTTAAAACACAGCCATTGACTACTGAATGGAAATGGCCAAATATAATTATTGTTAAATTTTAAATAATGTCATAGGTTCACTCTGTCCATTTCTGAAAACATTTCTAATTTTGACAATAGCCCTTAATGGCTGCAGTCTTATATTGGAAAACAGCCTGTTCCTAAATTATAAATTTTAAGTTTGCTCTTGGTGCCCCTATGTTCTAAAGTTAGACTTATTAGTGAACAGGGAAGGACCTATTATGAAATGTTCCTCTCTGAATGGCTTCCTTGGTGCTAATATTTATGTATAATTCAGAACAGTATGTAATCAGATTAGTTTTTAAAGTTCTTCCTTTCTCATTTTTTTATTTTAAATTATTTTAATTGATGGCTAAAACCTGACCAACAAGCTTTCAGATTGAAGAGGTCCAAATATATTAAGCATATAAAATAACAATTAAACTGCAGATAAAATATAATTTACAATTTCTAATACAATTTCTAATAGTAAAATTAAAATGCAAATTTACTATATTGATGAACATTACAATTTGAGGAGAATAAAATGCACAATTCTATTTAGAATGAACAAGTGCCCTTTTCTATTACAATTTGACATAGGACCAGGGCATCTTTTCATGCATTTTTAAAGAACAACCTTAAATATTTAATTTATTTAACCAGCTTTGCTCCTAAGTTTAAATTACTTATTAATGTCTATTTCTTTTCTGAACCATTTTGTCTAGTGTCCTCTGTTCAAAATATTTATAACAGAATTGTTCACATGGCATCTGCCAGTATACTACTAACAAGTTACTTTCATAACACACAAAACTGGCCATGCATGATGTGGTATACATTAACTGCCTTGCTCTGGAATTACCAGTTGAAATGCAAATCAGCAATACTACCTGTATGACCTGAAAAAAGGAATACTTATTTACATATTTTCTACCTGTAAAAAGAAAACTACCAGAAAAAGAAAAATCCTCAAACTCCTTCCCAAGTAGACCAAAGCTGATGACTGAGAAATTGAAATGCCATATCAAATCTTAGGATGGATAAAATGTAGGATTCAAATGCAGATACTTATTATATTTGTTTTTTTCCTGCAAGAAACATGTTCCTCTGCTGCCCCCAAGTGGCTTCAGAAACCAATGTTAAAGCAGCACAGGTATGAGTCATTAAACTATAGTATATGTAAACAATTAGTTACCATGTTTTATTTTTGTCTATTAACCAGCACAAAACTGTGCCAGAGTTTAGGTCTATTTCAAGGAGAAAACGGCAAAGAGAGGTAATGGATGATAATGAGAAGACTTCCTAATTCTTGTTTCATGTCTGTCTGCTATTAGAACTCTAATGGGGCTCTAACTGATCATGGTTAAGCCACTGAGGAAAAGACGAAACTGAAGCTGGGACAGACAAGAAAAGATAACAGAGAACCTGTCAAGAATTCAAGTCTCCAGTATCAGATGAACTATTGGTAATCTTTAAGAACTCCCATGAAAATAGCAAAGTCCCAGAAGATTGGAAGAACACAAATAGTATCTCCATCTTTTAAAAGGAAAAGTAGAAGGGCTCAATAAACTACAGTCCTGTATGCTTGACATCTTTACTGCCAAAGGTCATTGCACAAAGTATCAAGCAATATGTTTGTGAAAATTAGGATAAGTATGGTACAAATAACAGGATTTAGCATGGATTAATCAGAGATAAACCATACTATACGAACACTGCTTTTTGACAGACTTAACAGCTTACTAGTTCAGGAGAATGCATTGGACATGGTGTAGATCAGAAGTGTCAAACTATCAGCCTGCAGGCCCGATGCGTCACACGCAGGCCAAGCCCACCCCAGCTTCGCAAAGGGAAAAAACATTGTGATACGTCACGATACATCATGTGACGCGATCGAGTTTGACACCCGTGGTGTAGATGAACCTCAACGAAGTTTCCAGCAGAATATGATAAAATATGGGCTGGATTATACTGTTAGATGTAGACACAGTTAGTTAAATTAATGCACCCTTAAAGTGTTCAGTAATGATTTCAGTTTAGCTTGGAAGGAGGTTATCAGGCCCCACAGGATGCTATCCTGGGCCCTGTGCTGTCCAACATTTTTATCAGTATGGATCTGGCCAGAGCACAGTACAGTGGAAAATTACTTTCTATAATCTGAAGTCTTGTTCTTGTTGATGCACTTTAAGGTAGTCTTTGTTTTTTTAGTATCATCATCGCACTACTGGTTCACGTTTAACTTATGGTTGACAAGGACACCCAGATCTTTTTCATGTGTACTATTGCCAAGCAAAAATGCCCCCTCCTATACTTGTGCCTTATGTGTACAAGTATTTCAAATGTTCAAATACAAGTATTTCAAACATTATAGTAGGATAAACATACTTGGGACTTTTAATCTTTTTACATAAGGATTAATTTTCAGACTTTCACCATTTTGGTAGGTCTCCTTTGAACTTGCTCCAGTTTTCCACTGGGTTTTTTTTTTTAAACAGTGGTGTTCAGAATCTATATTCCATTGCTACAGATAACTAGTCCAATTTTCTCAATTGGAATCTTATGGGTTAGGGTTGACAGATTATGATTAACTATTAAGTACATTCTATGGCTGAGAGTGGTTTTGAACCTGGACCTCAGTTGCATCACCATCACCTCAGTTGCAGCTTCTAATACCTTCAGGCTATAAGATTCAAAATATTTTTTACCTATACTCAATTTTTCTCCTTTCATGAGAAGAAGAAAACAAATGGTAAAATAATATAATTGTAAAAAGATTACACAACAAAATAATCAATTTTCCTATCAGCCTGAAAGAACATTTTTTTCCAGGATTTTTTTGTTCTAGAGTATATGGAAAACAT